CTTTGCTTATGAAAGTAATATTGGCGACGGGCCTATAATCGCCAATTTCGTCAGACCTGACCCCCTGGATCACACTTTCACAATGCACTAATCAATCAATATTCAGCTACTCAACCATAAATTACCACAGCACCCCACTCCGCCCATGGCCATCAACCATACAGGCATTTAATTTTATATTTATCTTTTAATTGTCACTCTAGTTTGGTCATTCAACTACAAGTCCTTAAATTAGTAACAAAATATTCCAAGAACTGGTCTACTATCTGTGTGCTTCTATATGGACTGACTATAATGAACCCTCACTTTAAATCAACTTCCATATCAGCTTCAAGGTACTGGTTCTGACTATAAAGTCCTAAACAGAATCTCAGTACATGGCAAAACACCTGTTTCCAAACAGGAGAAAACAAGGAACTGGGTTTTCTCAGAGGTTGCTCCTCAGGTTTTGAATGAGCTGCCATCTGAAATTCACCCGGGCACCTCTCTGAAAACCTTTTAAGAAATCCCTCAAAACGTTCTTATTCCGATAAGCTTTCCAAAATATCCCATCTGAATAGGCCGCTGAGACTATTAGCCTATCATCTTTAACCAATGTCTGTTTTTAATTGCAATGTTAATTTCAATTTTAACTTTTAACTATGCTGATGGTAATATATGTTATTGTCATTGCTGTAAACCATCCAGAGTGACCATCGGCCAGATGAGTGGTATCACAGCATCCTTCAGTCTCAAGAGACTATGGTGACGTGCTCTGTATGGAGGACTTTGACGTTGTATGCGAAGCTGGAATGTCCTCTCCAGAGCACGAAGCCTGGGTAAAATAATATGGAGGATAGGCTGTTACTCAAGCAGCAGATCCTCCCTCTCCACACCACTGAAATAGTCCAATGGAAAGGCAAGAGCCAGTACAACTGGTTCCAGAAATGTTGCAGGAGTTGTCAGAATGACACGAACTGCCTCTGGGACTCTGGCTCCGGATTTTGCCTCGATGTTTACTCCTGATGCCTTTTCCATCAGTGGATATAGCCACAAGGCAGTGGGGGTTTCAAATCAGAGTTTTCCTTCTCCTAGATGGGCTGCCTTCCAAGGCTAACGAGTCCCACCTACCCGGGCTGCCCCCTTGCCGCATGGGTGGTAGCAGCGCCTCCTCCTCCTCCTCCTGGCATGGGGGTTTGGGTTCAGAATTTTCCTGAGAAGGAAAACTCTGAGTGGTATTAACATTTAATAAATAATAACAATAAAAAGTGAATGGAAGTCTAGTGCAATAATGAATGGCAGTCTATACGCCCACTTTGCATATGCAGTATAACCTGAAATGTAGTAGTAAGTTGGAACTAGAGGACCACTGAATCAGTGGAACTTACAGAAGAATTTGTAAGCCACCCCGAGTAGATGCTGTCTAGGGGGGTGGGGGTAGAAATCTAATAAATAAATAAATAAGAATTTACTCACTGAAACCCTACTGATTCAATGGGTCTGCTCTTATAGTAACTTACTACTAATTTCAGTCAGTGTACATACCAACCTCTCCACTTATAGAATATGAAACAACAGCCTAATGGAACAAGAAATACTAACATCTTTTTTCCTCCAGACAGCAAAATGCTGTAGGCCTGCCCTGTCATTTGGTATAATCCCATAATAACACCTGTTCCACAAATAATCCTATAGCACAACTTCCATACCAGCTTGATCCCACTTTTAAAACTGCACCTTGTTGACAGGTATTAATCTCTCCCTTTTTACCTGGTCAGCCAGTTTATCCCAAGCTTTTTTATGAGCAAGGAAGGGCAAGAGTCCAGGATCTGTGTGGTGGGCTTTACCTCTTGAAGGATCTTGTGCACATTCTTTGACTCTACAGACGGAACATGCGCAGTTTGCGGGGGCACTTAGAATTATTCTAATTCAGGAAAGCAAACCAAGTTTTACAAAGCCTTTGCATATATATATATATAATTAAATTACCATACCTAGGATGGCAACTGAAGTTGCACCAAGGTGTTATACTTATTTATTTATTTGTTTGTTTAATTTAATTTAATTTATTTATTAGATTTATATCCCACCCATCTGGTCTGGTCGACCACTCTGGGCGGCTCCCAATAAGGTGTACACAAAAACATAAGAATTTTACAAACAGTCCATAACATATACAATAATAAAACAAATAATAAATGAAAGAAAAAATAAAGAAAAAATTAAATATTGACAGGAGGGAAGGCCTGAACATACAACCATGTTTTTAGTTGACTCTTAAAAGTGCCCAGCGCAGGGGCCGCACAAATAACCAGAGGAAGGTTATTCCAGAAGCGAGGAGCCACCGCCGAGAAGGCCCGGTTTCGTGTCCTTTCCTTCTGGGCCTCCCTCAGCGTCAGGCTCCTCAGCCTCACCGCCTGGCTCCTGCGGGTGATCCGAGTAGATCTAGGTGGGAGCAGGCGTTCCGCCAAGTATTGGGGTCCTAAACCGTTTAGGGCCTTATATGTAAGCATTAACACTTTGAAGTCAATGCGGAAATGGATGGGCAGCCAGTGTGATACATGTACAGATACACTCTTTGTTCTTGTCTCACAGGAGGGATTTCAATTTTGGTTTGTGACTGCTGCAAGAATAACTTGTGCTCTAACCAAATCAATCTTCAACATTTTTCAGCCAAGAAATCCTTCTGCTTCACACCTTTCTTGAATTTATATAAAGATTGCAACTAAATGCTCTTAGGAATGAGAATACTGTACTATGGGTTACACATTTAACAGTAATAAAATCATGACCCTAATAGCAGCTGTTGTAGAAAATATGGGAATCAGAAGATAGAATGGCCAGGTAAAGACACAGAGCAAATATTGAAAGCCAGGAAACCAACTAAACATAAAGGAATCACTCTGTGCCACCGTCTGTCCATACACCGCAATAATTATACCTCTTATCCTACTTGTAGTTTCCCTCAGCTCCTTCTCTGAAAGAACTGCGCATGCCCTCATATGACCTCTAATATCCCCGCCTTTTACCTGCGACAATCTTCTACGTTCTTGAAGGCCCAGGAGTGCGTGGCGTCGGTCGTCGCCCAGACAACAGTAGACGTCACCGGCTCCCGGGGCCTGCCATTGGCTGAGAGGGTTCCAGAACGGCCGAGAAGTCGGAAGCGGAAGCCGCACGTGGACCCGGCGAGTAGCTGTCGCAGTTTCTGGAAACTTCTGCCTATTGTCATATTTAAACCTTTTGGCTGCAGGCGGCGTTTTTCCGCGCGCGGGAGTGGGGGGGTGGGAGAGAGAGAGAGAGGGAGAGATTGAGGGCGCGGTTGCGGGAAAGCCGGGCTCCGTGTACCTGAGCGGGGCTTTTTTTTCCCCTTTCTGCCGCGGCGGAGAGGCGGCCGCACCGCGGATTCGGAGCCGGCGGGAGCCTGAAGCGAGCGCTCGATTCCGCCCCGGGGAGCCATGGCTGTCGTGGGCTTCGATCTCGGCAGCCAGAGTTGCTACATCGCGGTGGCCAGAGCCGGCGGCATAGAGACGGTGGCCAACGAGTTCAGCGACCGATGCACCCCGTAAGTAAGCGGCCGCCGGCGGGATGGGCAAACGGAGGGACAGACTCTCCCAGGCTCCGGGCCCGCTTCGGGGGTTGGGTGGGTAGGTGAGGGTCCGGAGTGGAAACGGGAGTGAAATTGCTGGCGCTGCAAACCGACCCCTTTTAAAAACGTGTCAACAGGGTGTCGCCCCTCTTGAGTCCTGTCGGGCTTCCCCGCCTGGAAGTGGTCCTAGGACAAAAACTGTTCGTCCGTAAGACTTTTCTCTTTTTTTAGGGGGGAGGCTGCGGATTCCATCCTCCCCCAAATATATTTGTTATATTTTATTCAGATTTGCTGCACAGCCTTGGAAACAAGGCTCGTTGCGATCCGTTGATAATGTCAGCCTTCATTCGCAAAATCTCGATGCCCGTTAAATGTATCGCAAAGGCTTTTAGGGTTTTACTAACAGGCCTTGTTTGAACTCAGGAGGGATGGTTTCTTAAATAAGTTGCGTTCAGGGAGTGGCGTTGTGTGTCCTGTCTGTACTCCTCAGAAGAAAGCCTTGATGTCACGAAATGGGTGTTTCTTCCCTGGGCTGCGTGCTTAGGAATGCAGCCCAAGAACGATCGCGTATCTTTGTTAAGATGTGGACAGCTGTGCAGAAAGTGGTGGATGTCTCTAATTTCAGACACAAGCAGCCTCAGCTCTGCGGCATTTATCGGGGATGGTTCCTATTTTCAGGGTTATCCGATATTCCTATTTACATCTTCTTTCTGGGAATTGTGGGGAATGGGTAGACATCATAGAGGCAAATGTCTCTCCCCCCCCCTTTAGTGTATATGTGCTAAAGAGATCGATTCCCCCCCCCCCATTCTCTGTTCCTTGGTTATAAAGAGGAGGGGGGGCAGAGGTGATGCTGCAGTGATTTTCCACATTTCTTTGCTCTGCCTCTTGCCTTAAGTGTATTTTTGTTTGAGCTGGGTGGATATTCTTGATGCTCTGAATAAAGAAGCGGGTGGGGAGGACAGTGATGCAATTTGAAGGAGGAGCCTGCTGGGTGGGTTCTTGTACAGCCCTGATAGGATGGGTCCAGCTTAGAGTAGGATCTGGAAGCTTCTGCAGTTCCGCTGCCCCAGATGAAAGCCAAGCTGTAACTAGGTTTCTCGTTAGCCCGTTTTTAGATTGGGTAAGCAGCAGCCCAGGTTGTTGCAGGGTCATAGGCGGTTGGAACATCATAGTCCTGGGAGACTAGGGACACCTGCACCTTTTCACCTTCCAGGTTTACTTGAGATGGTGGAGCTTGGATTTAGATGGGGACATCCGCCCATACTGGCATTTGATGAAGTGGAATCTTGCATGGCAGTAAGCACACCAGTATTTAAGGTGGCACAAAACTTAATTGTTCATTAATAGCTGAAGGTAACCTCAGTTTCTGGGGCAAAATTTGTGACACTTCATGTACAGTAGGTGTGCTTAGCTCTACTGGCCACAAGTACTAATTTTGTAGAACTTGCATATGAATCTCATTCTGCATCCCCATGCCATCTCAGGAGACAATGTTTGATAGTTGGGGGAAGGAAAAAAGTGATTTAAAAAGGTATTTTCTTAGTATCGGTATGTCTGCTTTTAAAAAGGTTCATTTTAAAAATCCGAAGGATATTGTATCTGTAGACATAAGTGCATGTATAGAAATGTAAAGTTCTTAAAATGTACACTTAAGAAACACTTTCAAGTTCTCTGATTATTCTAACTAGTAAAATAGATTCATTCATGAGATTCGTGTAATTTTATGTCCCATAGTACTTACAGTAATGTGGAAAAAAAGCACACCCTATTTGCATTCTATTGTCTTACTTATGAAGACATAATTAAAAATCAACTAGTCCTTAGCAGGTCTGAAATTTAGGTAAATACAGCCTCAGATGAACAACAGTACGTGATATATTACACTGTGTCATGATTTATCTAACAAAATTAAAGCCAAAATGCAGCGGCCATGTGTAAAAGTCTTCTTCCTCAGATGCAGGCGCAGCAGCCATATGTAAAAGTCTTCTTCCTCAGATGCAGGCGTGAGATTCTGTGACTGTCATTTGTATAGAGACTCCCTGTGACCAGATGGAGGCACAGATAACGAGCAAAATGCCAGGGATTCCTTAGTAAAGAATAGGTTATCAGGCTGTGAATAATAAGTCTAAAAGGTAACTAGAGCATAATTAATACGTGGCAAATACTACTCAATATAGTGTTTCACTGCTTCAAAAACTGAAGATTATATTATCCAGAGCTCAACACTCTGAATGTTGTTTTAACTTGACTTAATACCAGTGGGTTTTAATGGCTCAGGAATTTCTTTAAATAGTTGTGACATTTTTTCCCCTTAAATCAAGTTTTTTTGTTGTTGTTTTTTTGTGGACACTTCTAGTCCTTACATATTTTACATTCTCAGTGTTTTAAGATTTAAATTAGCTTTTGACTGTAGAGTTCTGTTGGGACTCAGGTAATTTTAACAATCAATTACACCAGTAAACAAATTATTGTGGAAGTGATAGCTTCATAATGCTGTGGGCTAATGTTACTCTTCTGTAGTGATTCTGACAGGTAGTAAATTAGTACATTTTAAGTCCTAATGCACTATGATAGAACATTTTAGATTGCCTGTTTGCCACTGTGGCTTTCATTTATTTATTCAGTTGTCATTTTATTGATATGTTGTATTTGTTTCTCATTATATTTTTTTGTTTTGTGTTTATTCAACTCTGGATGCAAACCACTCAGAGTAGTGTTTATCTCTAATCTGTGTAAAAGAGCCTCGTGGCGCAGTGGTTAAACCGCTGTACTGCAGCCAAAACTGTGCTCACGACCTGGGGTTCAATCCCAGGTAGCCGGCTCAAGGTTGACTCAGCCTTCTATCCTTCTGAGGTCGGTAAAATGAGTACCCAGCTCGCTGGGGGGGCAATGTGTAGCCTGCATAATTAAATTGTAAACCGTCCAGAGAGTGCTTGAAGCACTATGGGGCGGTATATAAGCAGCACACTTTTGGTTTTTTTTAATACAAGTTTATAAATAATATATAATTACAGAGACATCTATACATAACAAGTGATTGGAACCTATCACAAAACTTGTTGGTGTTAAAAAATGTTGTCCATCTCTCACAATGGAAAGCTGTTTATTCTATTGCATGTTTCTGATTTGTCTGAGGCGTGGATTGTAATCCATGAAATCTCACCATGAAATATATCTGCTACCCTGTTTCCCTGAAAATAAGACCCAACCTGAAAATAAGCCTTAGTATGATTTTTCAGGATGCTCGTAATAGAAGCCCTACCCCAAAAATAAGCCCCAGTGAAGTGAAATCCCACCCTCCACCCTTGTGCAGCCACCAGAAGAAGATGACAGGACTGTCTTTGAATGAATGTAGATTGTTGTACATGAAAAAATAAAACATCCCCTGAAGATATGCCCGATTGCGTTTTTTGGAGCAGAAATTAATATAAGACCCTGTCTTATTTTTCAGGGAAACAGTACTTTTCAGGGTGCCATGGGACTTTGATTTATGTTTTGTTCTTGTTCAGAACACAGTTCAGAACACTATGCAACTTTCATAAAATCCCAAAGATGCCTCATATTCATGGATGTCATATTGATAGCATCACCAATGATAATTATGTATTTTAATCAACAAGGAAGATGTGATCAAGACAAATTTAGGGTATTATTCTCAGATACAGATAAGTTTATTACATTTTGAATTGCAAGGTTCATTTCCATTCCTATAAAAATAAAGTCTGTACTTTCAATTACTAATGAAGTTTACAGTTAGATGATTGCCACTCAGGGTCCTTTGTTATTATTTCTGTTATTATTATTAATGATTCATTGTTCTGTAGTTAAGTCTACTATGCAATAAACTGAATTCCTTCTTTTATGTATTTTAATCACTGGTGGATTTATCTCTTTCCAGGTCAGTGGTATCATTTGGGTCTAAAAACAGAGCGATTGGAGTAGCTGCTAAAAATCAAGTAAGTTACCTGAGAATAACATAATCAAATATATTCTAGTTAGTTAACTAGCTGCTTTGAAAATATGTTGTGTATTTTATGGACAGGTATTTTAATATTTTGCACATAAAGATTGCCGAAAAATTTACCACACAGAGAGGCCCTCTCCCCCATAGTCCATAGAATTGGACTATGGCTTGACTGAAACCTCTCCTCATGGGACAATTACATGTCCTTTTTAAAGTATCAGGTAAACTATTCATTTCTTAAATTATCTGCTTAAACTAGATTCCAACATTCCAGTACATTCTAGCATGGAAAAGAACCACATGTAGGTCGGGGCTTATGTAAAAACAAGCAGTCTGGATGCTTAATGGAAGGATTTACCCTCTCCAGCCTAATAATTATGTGCCAACTAGTCTATTCTGACTTACGGCAATCCTTTTCAGATATAAAGTACTTCAGAAGTGGTTTACCATTCCTTTCTTTTTAAAGTACTTCAGAAGTGGTTTACCATCCCTTTCTTTTGGGGGGGGAGGTGTCCTTGGTCTGTGTAGCTTGCCCAAGGCCACACAGGCTGGCTCTTCTCCCATTGAAAACACAGTGGGGAATCAAAGTCCCAGCTTCTTGCTCCACAGCCAGAAATCTGAACCACTGAGCTATCTGGTTTCATTTTTTTAAATATGTATATCAAGAAACAAACTGCCTCATTTTTGTGAGAAAATACAATGCTCTGTACTTTGGTAAGTCTATTACTTTGTGTGATTCTGGAGAGAATGAGAGAGAAAGACATGAATTATTTTTACTCTTTCCCCTTCCTTTTTCCCTAATCAGATTTTTCATATCTTTAACTACAGTAGCAAATGGAACTTGCAAAATGTACAGTATGTGCTTCATTAATCTCTGGTGTTTATACCCTGGCTCATGTGCCCTTTTCTTTCTTCCTTTGTAAAGATGGTGAGGTTTGTCTTTCTTCTTCTTCTTGCAGCTGATTACACATGGCAACAACACAGTATTTAACTTCAAGAGATTCCATGGCCGCGCCTATAATGATCCTTTTATTCAGAAGGAGAAGGAGAATGTGAGCTACTGTGTAGTTCCAATGAAAAATGGAAGTGTTGGGATAAAGGTAACGCTTTCTGTACAGTATTATATTTACAATTTTCTGGCATCTCCATTTAAAGATTTAAGTCGGGTTTCAAGATGAGGAAAATGCTAAACTAAATATGAGCATTTTGTGCTCGGAAAGGTCATGCACTTAAAAAAAATTAAGAGCTGCCTACATATATGTATAGATGTGACACATTGGATGGGGATTAACAGTGAAGTAGATGGTTTAATCAGGAGGAAGCCCCTCCTGAGGAATTTGCCCCACGTGGGATGCCATAGAAGTATATTAGTTTGTTTTACATGATACTGTAGCACAGAACCAGAAACTTTACTTTTTCACAGTTTGACTCTCAAAACCTCCAGTTTTGGGGATGGCTATAGTTAAGAATGCTTTCTCATCATTATAAACTATGTATATTACAACGCACAGCTGTAGGCATTGTGGCATAAATTTTCTCTCTAACATTTTAAGCCTTTTTTGTTAGTCTCAACAATTTGATTTGGATTGTTTTTAATTGTGACAATGTTTAGTTTTTTGCCCCCAAGACTTTCTGAGGCAACATATAGGTTTAAAAATAATGCTGTACTGTAGGAGTTCTTGCTTGCTCGGACTGTTTTGTTTCTTTACACCAGCTACATAATGCTAATAAAACAGTTTTCAGTTTTGGAAAATTAAACAAAAATTGGGAAGGGCTATCAATAATCAGCATCCCAAAAGCATTTTTTTTTGTTATTCCCCTCTCCCCTATCTTTATTCCCTCAGGGACGCAAGCAATAATGGATAGATTTGAAATGCTTACTACTTTTTTCTTTCTGTCATATCTCCAAAGGTAAGGTACATGGATGAGGAGCATTTATTCAGTGTGGAGCAGATAACAGCTATGCTGCTGACTAAACTTAAGGAGACTGCTGAAAATAACCTCAAAAAGCCTGTGACAGACTGTGTTATTTCAGTAAGTAGTTCCATTTAATCTTGAATGTGGTTGTCCCCTCTTGTGCAGATCATAATGTTTTTGTCTGAAGCCTTTGCTGAGCAGTTTTTAAACAACCTGAAACATCAGGAAGAACAACCTTCAGAGCACGGCCAAAGAGCCCGAAAAACCCAGAATAACCATTAGATCCCGGCCGTGAAAGCCTTCGCAAATATATCTCATGTGTTTTCTTTTTCAGGTTCCATCATTTTTTACTGATGCTGAGAGGAGGTCTCTGCTGGATGCTGCCCAGGTTGTTGGCTTAAATTGTCTTAGACTAATGAATGATATGACAGCAGGTGAGCAAAGCACTGAATTAACTGCAGTGTCCGATTGTACCCCCGTGATTAGTGTAGTCTTCTCTGGAATGATTCCCCCAGATGCGTTGGGTTGCGGAATGGTGGGAATTGGAGTCCAGAACGTCTGGAAAATGCCCAGTTGCGAAAGGCTGGTTAATGCAGTGTTGCCTTGCTGCCACTGTGATGTAAACATTACAAACATTCTTCATAATCTGGAAGTGCTATTGACCTTCTAGTAATATTTCCTGAAAGTAATTCTAAGTTGCATCTCATACATTGATTGTTCTTTCTCTTCCACAGTGGCTCTGAACTATGGGATATACAAGCAGGACCTTCCAGGTCCAGAAGAGAAACCACGGTTAGTGGTGTTCATCGATATGGGGCATTCAGCATTTCAAGTATCAGCCTGCGCTTTTAACAAGGGTAAACTGAAGGTAGGAAGAACCTGGACCCAGTGGCTTTCTAGTGCATATGTAATGTTTGGTGTAGAAAAGTATGTAGATACATTTTCTGGTCCCAGTGTTGGTAATTTCTCGTTGATTACCAGATGTTATGCTGAAATTATACTTCTTGATCTGAATATTTTTTGGCTTTCATGTCATAGAAGTCCTTCAGGAATGGAAGGGGTCGGACAAAAAATAAACACAAACAAACAGTGGGTGAATATGTTAATGGGGTCTGAGAGATCTAGGCAGCATTTCAAGTGTTTGCCCAGAACCTTCGGCAAAAAATCTTCTCCATCCATCCAATGTGAAAATAACAATAGTGTTTAAGGTAGCGAGAGGTGCTGTTGCTACAGTTTCTCCGCAGAAGCACATATACTCTCAGCTGCCCAATTTATCTCATGCAGTTCCTTCCTTTTCTGCCTTTTCTTTGAAACATGCATGTTCGCGAGCGTGCGTAATACACCAATTCTGTCCATCTTCAACTGGCCACTTTTAATATAACTGTTTACCAGAGTAGTAAAATACCGAGGATACCCCGGGAAAGGCTTAATGACTTACAGAGCCTAAAATGCCGCCACCCCAAGTACAAATTCAGTAAAGTTGCTGCTAGCACATTGCATGTACTGTTGTAACTCTAATTTTAAATGCAAATATTGTTTAAACCAACAAACTGTTAGAAGAAAACAAAAAAAAAATGCTTCTGACATTGATGAAGCCACTTCTCAAAGTTTAAAAGTCTTACAAATAAGCAGTTTCTTATTTTTCCCACCTCGGAGTTGATAGAGATCATCCTCAACCACACTTCCATTACACTGCCAAGTTTTAGATCAGGCTGTTAAACTGTTTTGCGTAGGAGTCATAAAACCTACTGTCCAGTGCTTTCTGTTTGATTGTTTGAATGATGGAATGAAAGTTATCCATCTCAGCCATTTCTACAGTTCTGTAATTTTGGAGAAGAATGATGCTGCTGGGTAGGGCAACTAATACGTCAACTTTGTCTCCAAACCAGGTGCTTGGTACAACTTTCGATCCCTTTCTAGGAGGAAAACATTTTGATGAAAAACTGGTGGATTACTTTTGTGCTGATATAAAAGCCAAGTACAAACTGGACCCTAAGGCAAAAATACGAGCCCTCCTTCGTTTGCATCAGGAGTGTGAGAAGCTGAAAAAGTTAATGAGCTCAAATAGCACAGATATTCCACTTAATATTGAATGCTTCATGAATGATACAGATGTATCTGGAAAGATGAATAGGTAAGATTGTAGTGAAATGGAAATATATTATTAGAACTTTCCTATTTCTAAGATTTAACTTGCAACCTGGCCAGAGTAGTGCATTCACTAGTGGGGCAGTGTAGAAAGCAAATGAATGCATGTATACATATTGTAATAATTTTTTAAAAAATGTGCCAGGCCATACCAAAAGCCTATCTAGTCTGACATCCTCTTTTTTGTTGTTACGGTCAACCTTTAGAAATCGCCAAAGCAGGATATGAACACAGTAGGAGCCTGCCCGCCACTGCCGTGACTGGCAGCAAGACACATACAATCATGGCCAAAAATTTTGGCATCCTTGCATTTCTGTCAGAAAATGCAACCCTTCTCTCCAAAAATTGTTCCAGTTGCAAATGTTTTGGTACTCACATGTTTATTTCTTTGGTTTGCATTGGAATAACACAAAAAAAGAGAAGAAAAGTCAAATCTGATACAATCCCACACAGAAACCCAAAAAAGTAGTGGCCAAAATTATTGGCACCCAGTCTGAATTCTAATAAACAACTGCTTTTCAAGTATGTGATGCTCCTTTAAGTGGCCAAAATTATTGGCACCCAGTCTGAATTCTAATAAACAACTGCTTTTCAAGTATGTGATGCTCCTTTAATTTGTATTCAGACACACCTGTCACAAGTAAGAGGTGTGGGCAATATGGTAATCACACTAATAACCAGTTAAGATGGAGAAAAGTTTACTCAACCTTTGTGTTGTGTGTGACAGTGAGCACGGAGAAAAGAAGTGTAAAGAGTTGTCTGTGGATTTGAGAGAAAAAAAATTGTGGAAAAACATTGACAATCTCAAGGCTACAAGTCCCATCTCCAGAGATCTGTGCACAATATCATTAAGAGGTTTACAACCCATGGCACTGTAGTTAACCTCCCTGGACATGGACGGAAGAGCAAAATTACTGAAAAATTACGAAGGGTTGTTCGAATGGTGGATATAGAACCCAGATTAACTTCCCAACAAATTCAAGCTGATCTGCAGACACAGGGTACAACAATGTCAGCTCAACTATCTGTTGCCATCTGAATGAAAAGGGACGCTATTGTATGAGGCCCAGGAGGACATCTCTGCTGACACAAAGGCATACAAAAGCAAGACTGGAGTATGCCAAAACTTATGTGAGAAAACCACAATCCTTCTGGGAGAACGTACTGTGGACAGATGAGACAAAAGTAGAGCTTTTGGGTCAAGGACATCATGGCATTTTTCCAGAAAAAGAAATGAGGCATTCAAATAAAAGAACACAGTCCCTACAGTCAAACATGGTGGAGGTTCAAAGATGTTTTGGGGTTGCTTTGCTGCTTCTGGCACTGGATGCCTTGACTATGTGAACGGTATCATAAAATCTGATGATTACCAAATAATTTTGGGGCGCAACATATTGACCAGTGTCAGAAAGCTGCGTCTCAAGCAGAGCTCATGGGTCTTCCAGCAGGACAATGATCTGAAATACATTTCAACCATTCAGAAATGGTTACAAACAAAGTGCTGGAGAGTTGTGAAATGGCCAGCAGTGAGTCCAGATCTGAATCCCATAGAACACCTGTGGAGA